AGGTGTGCTTCCGTTTTCCCTCAAGGACATGGACGGAAATTGTTAGTGTGACACATGAAGAAATGCGATAATTTAGTCAATTATTTTGCACCATGCGAACAGGATAATTGCCCACTTTAAAAAAAGGGAACAAAAAAGAAACCTTGCGTCCATGAGGAGAAGAAAATGACTGTGACAAGGATGCGGTTGTGAGTTTCGAGTTATCGTGGCATGGACGACAAGGCACCGTTTCTTGCCTGTTCCAAGAAGCCGGCACTATCACTGAAAAACGAAAAACGTTAAATCAAGCGATTAGCACTGAATACTGTAGATGCGCTGCGGTCAGCTGGTAATTCCTTCAGGAAACGAAATGAGCGCCACCATTGGCAGCTGACTGACCATCATCATTTTTTTTGGCTAATTACGACAACCACTAAGCCGATTGTATCATCCAGCTTGATCTAGGGTGCCAAAATAAGGAAGGCGGATAAGCAGAGGAAAAATAGTAGGAAAAAACAATTAAGTTGGTAATTCTTTTCGAAGACCGAGCGAAACCAAAGTCGTTAAAAGATTGGCCACCAAGCTACGCAGCTTTGGCTAAAGCAATTCGAAAAATTGCCAGCTGCATCATTCAGTTTTGAAAATCAAAAGCGAAACAAGCTATGATAAAGTGTAGGCAAAAAAGCATGACTCTGGTCAGCGGATGTGAGGTTTGGAATGAGGGCATTTTTATTGTCTGGACCATGGATATATATTATTTCTTCGCAAATTTGATCAAAAACAAAGAACCACCTCCATCACGAGCACGAGAGGGAGGGAAAAATAATCGGTTCGTGAATGCCAGTTTTTCTGATTACATGGAAATTTTTTATGCAGATGCATAAATATTTATACATATGTATTTGTCCGTTTATTTATTCGTTTATTCATAAAGAATGAAATAAACAATCAAAAAGTTTAATACAAATATAAGAAATCAAAACTATTTGTGTGAACTGTGCGATTTTGATTTCTTCTTATTCATATATTTAAGCTACTGGTTTTGTGTCTGCGTGTTTCTTTTACTTTACTTTTCCTCACTTCTGCCTGTTTATCAAAAATAAGTACCATGCGGCTGATCATAATTGATCAGTGATTGCGACAGGGCATCAGCAGAATGATCCCGCTGACGATAGTTTTGGGCGGCGCTAACACTATAACGAAGTCGTGGTACCGCTGCTGCTGCTGACTTGGATTGTTGCTTATGCGGCCCGGAACGACAATTTTCTGACCGTCGAGTTGAGGCACGACGACGTAACGGAAACTGCTCGAACCATGAGCTCAGACGTTGCATTAAACCCAATTCTGAAATGTAAAATTGAAGCAAAAGCAAAAAATGACGTGTACGAGAAGTGAGGATAAAATTTTCATGCGAATCCATGTGAGCTCCGGAAACGACCGCTGAGGATCCCGTTATTAAAAAGAAACACGATTTATTAGAACCTTCAACTACAAATCGGCCACTTTACCAAAAAAAAGACTTCCCTCCAGTTTGGCCGGGTTGAATTTGGTTCCTCTGGCGGAATACGAAAAATTTTACTTTTTAGGCCTTCTTTTGGCCCAAAATTAAATTATTTCAACCGGAAGACCTATAGCCCACACAAAAAACTGCGCTGTATACTATAGTATCACGAAGGCAGGAGATGATCGAGCATACATTTTCGAGAATTGTCTTCGAGATTTTCGACCAACAAGGATCCAATTTACTTTTAAGTATTTGCATTACTCGGACTGATTTTCGAAAATGATTCACGTACAGTAGGGAAAGCAAACGTACGAAATAGAGAGAAAAGCAGTGTTGCTCAGTTAACAGCAATAACTCCGATGCTGATAATCCAAGGAATCTTTGTGATTTGTTTTCTATCGATTTTTTATCAAGAATACCAAGACTACCCGGACGATTACTGGGGTGTCCCATGTTAGTAAGGTTACTGTGATGCGTCTAGTTATCGATTATGAATGAAAACTATGTTATTTACTCGTCAACTACATTGTTATGTGCCGGCCTTCGTGAATTCCAAACAACGTCATTCATCCCCAAGTCAACTGATTTACTTACTGCATTCATGGAATCAGAGGTTTGTTATTAGTTTTTGTGGGAAAATTTTTTCAGCTTTTTGTTATTTCAGTTTTCACGACAGTTTTTTTCTTCTGTCTCGTTCATGAACTAATTTGTTTTAAGTAAGAAAAGTTTTTTAATACCTTGAGAAAAATTTTAAATTTTCTCATTAGAATTGCAAAACTTGTTTTTGCCTCCCACAGAGTTTAAAATTCGGGATCATTTTATTAAAAATTTGAAAAAACGAGGCAAAAAATTACTTGCTACTACAGGAGCTAGAGTATCAAAAGTGTTGTTTGCAAATTGTACATCGCGATTGGAAATTAGTCAAAAGAAATCAGCTAAAGGAACTCGTGGTACAGTTCTTTTTGCATAATTAAATTTCCTTCAAAATGAACTGTGCATTTAAGAACACTTCTGTTAGGAAGCACCTTATAACATGCGGGAAAT